AAGTGTGCAACAATTAAGCCTCAGCTGTTTTTGCTGCAAAATGGATTTTGGCTCATCACTTAGGAGCCACTCAGTTACAAACCTGAGGCACTTAAATCCACAATGAAAGAAAAATGGCGTGTAGGTTTCGCATACATCATCCCTTCATAACTTTACTTCTTTGTTCGTAAAGAGAGAGACCATTAAAATGTACGTTTGACACAGCTGGAAACAGGATTTGGAAAATGTATGTTATTTGTACCTTTTTTGTGGTGCGGAAACAAAAAGCTTTTTAATTAGTCCATTAATCTATTTGTTGAACAACATAAAGTGACTTTGATGATCAATTCATTTTTAAAGTCAGCTATCCAAATGTGACGATTCACTGAATATTTATCTATTTATTTATTTTTCAGTTGGATTAAATTTCTTGGGATATTTGTCAGACAAAACAAGTCATTTGAACGTCACTTCGAATGAATTTGACATGACACGTAATTCCTTCCAACACGTTTTAGAGTTCTCTCATGTTTCCCAGCTGGTGCAAGTTTCTTAAACTACTTTTACTTTGGTTTTCTGGGAGTTTGCAAGTTGAGGGCGGGGCCCTTCATTTCTGTGTTAAATGGCTCGCTCAGGCAGAATCCCGGTCTACTCTGAAAAAGCTTGCAATGTAATCTCCCAAAATTCAGTCCGGCGCAGTCTGCATTCTACCCCTTCAAAAGGGAACCTTCGGAAAGCAGGTCATCCGCTAGGCCAACGTGTTGTTAGCCATGCACATATCCTCCTTCGCCCTCCCCAGCTCCTACGGCGGGTGGGTAAATAAATAAATAAATAAGGGAGTAAAGGGAAATGTTGACACAGCCTGTCCTTGTGGCCAGATTATCCACTCATGCTTGAGCTCTGGGTAAAGGCCCTGCATTATTCAGCCTAAGACACAGAGATGGGGGGAAACTGTGGAAAAGCTGGGTTTTGCTGCAGGGGTGTGTGTCTGTGTGTGTCTGTGAGTGAGTCTGTGTGTGTGTGTTTGTGTATTGTGGGGTGGGAATGGCTGAAATGCATGTTTTTTATTTGCCTAATTACCAAATGAACTCACTGCCTGTCACGTCACTCCTGTTCATTTCCCGCTCGGTGCCTCCGTCTCACACACTCTCCCTGTCAGGCTTCTGGACCAGCGCTGTCCGTGGTGCTGAAAGTTTCATCACACATTTCCTGCTGGTGTCTGTTTTGAATCCTCGGCTCTCCGGTCCCAGTCCGTGCCCTCGCCGCTCTTCAAAAGCAATGTATCCGTTTTGTCTGGACAAAAAGTCTGCCAGCGCTTGGCAAATCCACCTCAAAAAAAGGGCGAAGCCTATCATTCAAGATGTTTTTCAAAAAAAGCTCAGCAGGTAACAGAGCGTGCTCTCAGATGCAGTGAGGACTAATGCGTTTTTTTTTTATGTCTGTCTGCCTCTGCCTACGTATGTTTCATCACAGCAAGGCTCAAGTTAAAGCACTACTCGCTCAGTGGCTTGGTTTAAAGAAAGCTCCTTTATGTGTGCTCTTATTTACAGTATTTAATCCACGCAAGTCAGGAGCCTGAAGGGTTTAGAGGAGGCACTGCAGTAAGAAAGGGATGGAAATATGGTAGAGTTTTGAGTTTGTGAATTAATCTAGGAGTACTTACTTTAGATAATTTACTGTATAAACATAAGAATATTACATTTTCTGCTTTAATGGACTTGTAGAAACCTTGTGTATCTTGGCTTCTGTCCACCACACCCAACTGCCTGGCTTCAACACACACAAGTAAAAGTTCTGTTCAAATGAATATTTTTTAATAAACCAGTCTATTAATCATTTACGAGAATAGTTGTTGGTTACAGCCCGACTCCCACCTTGTGTTGTGGTTGCCACACATTGGAAAAAAATACTGGTTTACTGACTTGAAAACTATCTTATTGTTTATAACATTTTGATTTTAATTCATACTAATTCACTACTTTTTCACCAATTGGAGTAATTCTTATATTAATATATAGTATTCAGCCAAACAACCTTGTTATTGCTTATCATGCTGTTGTTGTTTCATAGAAGAATTGACATGCGAGCTGTGCCTTCTTGTTGCAGCCGGTTATAGTTTTTTGCAAAGTAATATTTGTTGCAGTGGAGTAGAGGTGCAGCATATAATGGAAATACTATGTACAAGTACCTTAACATTGTACTTAAATGCAGCTGATGGTGTCAGTGTGAGGTAAACTGAGGATTTGCTGATATTTTGTTGTGTGTGAGTGTGTGAAATTTGGTGCTGTTTGATTCTTAAGGAGTGTTTCCTTGGTTTGAGGTATTCGGTATCTGAGTGGCATTATAGTTTAATATTTGTTATACTGCTTGTGCTCTTTCTGTTATTTTCTCAGTTGCTTCCCTTTGTACCTACAAAAGTTCGAATATAAGAAGTTGGCATTTCTTGTCCTGATTTTTATTTATTTTCTCCAAATCCAGCATACTGCAATCTGGATTTTTCTTTGGA